TCACCATCGGTTTGGAATCAGGGTTTTCTAACTCCTTTAAATGGATCTTTAATATCTACCAACCCGGTTAGAGCGCCAGACATTCGCTTTTTGTCGTCTCGATTTTGTAAACAACACCTGTGGTGCGAGAAGCTAGTGAGTAGGACTTGCGTGACAGTGGCTGTATACGTGTGGTCATGTGAGAGCATTTTGAGAGGGAGAGCTGACTCTTCCCAATTTCGGCCGTACCAGATCATCCTTCCTATCATATATACGTGTATAGATACATTCTTGTTCAAAAATATCTTGATAAATAAATTGAATAGTTTTATGTGAACTATCTAAAGACTTTCAATTTATCAAAGTTATCTCCAAAAGTCGAAGCGTTCTCATTACTACCATTATCTGAAAGAATATAAGGTGAGACTGTAAATTATGGACGACCTTTGAACAAAGATAAACTGACTTTGAGAGTGTCTACCTAATAACTAGGACCAAATGAGGGTTATAAACTAGCTTGTGAAGAATTCGAATTATGATTTACAGTTGATGGTTAAAGTTAGAAATTAGATTTCGGGGTATTCATCACGAACTAACATCAGTTATAATGCCAAGACGATATTTGGTCAAACGAGTGAGTGAATATTGCGCCAATATCCGAGATCTGTTATCTTATATTTGATTGGTTCGTCCATAAATTATAGTTTCACCGAATATAGTTTTAGATTCATGTAGCTCATATAATATGATCCGTTATGCTACTACTACTACTATATATCTGTATATATTATGAAATCTTGTGTATTAGTAATTTTTCAAAGCAATCCGTTCAAGTAAATAAAATCGGAAAAAAACAAACAAAAGAAAAGAAATCAAATCGATCTGATTGTTACCAAGTATACATATTACTTAGCAGAAGAAAGAGTAGTTTTTTTTTTAAGAAGAAGTAGTAGAAAGAAAAAAAAAAAGGTTTAACAAAGAAAATCAATACCGTTCTCAAAATAAACAAAGAACACTATATACAAGATAATAATAATAATAATAATACCCCCCTAGATATTTATAATGTTTTATTTATTGATTTGGCATGAATATTAATATTGTTATAGAATATATTCTAGAAAATTACCATTTCGAGGTAGAATAAATAGTTGATCAACTGATCGATCGATCGATTGATCGATCAATGAATCAATTAACAAATGGATTCGATATGAATTTTACTATGATTAAAATCAATATTGTGAATTGTCTTTTTTGTTGTTATTGTTGTACATCTTCTTTTTCATCAAATGAATATATATGATGATAGCATAAAGATTATGGAAAGAATATGGTGTCAAAATGATTATTATTTTTGTAAAATTGATATTTTCAGAAGGAGTTTTGTGAAGATTTTGTAGTTTCAATAGAAGCTAGACGACCATGGAAAACCTAAAATCACTGGACGACCGTTTCGTCCTAGTGTGGGACACTTCAGCAGTGCGCATCTACGATCCCATCCCTCGCGAGGTTCGAAACCATACTAGGACGAAACGGCCATCTAATGGTTCCAGGTTTCCCATGGTGGTCTAGCTTCAACTGACTCATGATCTTAACTACTGATATTTATAAGTTGAAAAAAATGCATAAAATTACAAATTCAATTGATGTTATTTTACTTGTATCTTCTCATTGTTATTTGTGACTGAAATTGATCAGTCTCTTATTGACATATGTGGATCTCGTGAGTATTACCTCGATATTGCCTTAATTCACAAACATTCTAAATAAAAGTGGATAGTGGATAGCAGTGGAATCCAGGACGCGCGTTTCGTCCTATAACAATGGGAGGATACAAGTAAACAATACCAAGTGAACTGCACCCCATTACACAAGCAAGTAGCTACCAGGACTCAGTAGCTAGGTGAATAACGCGTGTTTCGTCCTATTTAGGACTCATCAGTTGGATGTGCCTGAATTTCAGGACTCAATAGCTAAGTGTATAAGGTGATGGTGTTTGGAGCGAATGGTACTGGGTTCGAGACCCAGAGTGAACATCAACTTTGGGATGCAAATGCATTCAGATGATGAGTCCCAAATAGGACGAAACGCAATTTATTCTGGATTCCACTGTAGCTACTAACCATCTTTGCTTATAAGATTACAAACGTTTATGAACTTCCATCTTATTTTTTCCATGGCTGTTTTAAATACAACACATAACAATTTTAAATATCGCTATAATTACATTAATAAAACTGAGATCAGTAACTTAACCCGAAAAAGCGAAAAGAAAACACGTTCATCATCAACCAATTAATTACAAAGATGTTTATTGATAAGTTGAGTAAATCTATACAAATGGATCAATAAGTAGTTCAATAATCGAACACCTTGTAAACACAGGTCACTTAATCAAGTTAGACTCTGCGTTCAAAGTCATCTACAAGTAGAAGTCTTCCAAAGACAATTATATTGCATCTTCTTAACATTACCGAAGTAATAGACATACATCTTGGAAAACCAGAATTATGTGTTAAAAAAAGATTGGTACAATTAATTCTTCTACAGTGGTCTTTATGTCTTCTTCCTTTATATGCATCTGCTTCCCCTTCTATCTTCTACCCCCCCCCTGCCAATTGGTTTAATTCCGTTTCTACAATCTTCATGATTACATTTTATTTCAATGTCAATATTTTATCTTATCATTCTAAACTACCCTTTGCCAATGATAACTTCCCAGGTTTAAAAAACAAACGTTTTAATGCCTTTGTTTATTCTACTTTATTGTCACTATGTCTAACAGAAACAATGGTGAGATTATAATTTATGGACGACCTATGAGAGACGCTAAAGTGACCTTGAGAGTGTTTACCTACTTACTAGTGCTAAATGAGTTTTATATATCAGTTTGATGGTTGGGTTCGGGAATTAGATTTTGTGGTTTTCATCACGAACTGAGTGAATGAATTTCGCGCCAAAATCTAAAACATGTTATAGTAAATCTGATGGGTTCGTCCATAAATTATAATCTCGCCGAAACAATGTTTATATATTATAAGCACAGATGGATAGTGGCTAGTAGTGGAATCCAGGATAAAGCGCGTTTCGTCCGATTTGGGACTAGTCAGCTGGATGTACCTGCATCTTAGAGTTGATGTTTACTCTGGGACTCGAACCCAATATCGTTCACTTCAAACGCCATCGCGTTTTCCACTTAGCACATATGCCATATGAGAGACTGATCAATTGCAGTGCTAAACATCAATGGGAAGATTCAAGTAAAACAATATCAAGTGAATTACACTTCACCCGATTGCACAAGCAAGTGGCTATCAGGACTCAGTAGCTAAGTGGATAACGCGATGGCGTTTGAAGCGGACGGTACTGGGTTCGAGTCCCACAGTGAACATCAACTCTGAGATGCAGGTACATCCAGCTGACCAGTCCCAAATAGGACGAAACGCGCGTCAAACTGCATTCCACTGCTAGCCACTATCCATCTTTGCTTATAATGCTTGTAAATTAACGCAATATCGAGGCAATACGCACAGTATGCACAAATATGCCAATATGAGACACTGATCAATTGCAGTGCTAAACATCAATGGGAAGATTCATGTAAAACAATATCAAGTGAATTATTCTATATATATATATACAGCTTTGTAAATGAATTTACCAAAAAAAAGAGAACTCTACACTGAACCAATTATTCTTAATAAAATTTAGACAAAGCAAACGAATCTATATGTCAGACAGCTCACGTGCCATCCCAAGGTCATAAATGAGTAAGACAATATGAAACGGATATGCTATTGGAGGATATGAAATACACATTTGGTCAAGGTCATAGATTAGATTTTTCTAGTCTAGGTCAGAATATATATATACCTGCTATTTGTATACATTATGATAGTTAGACCTTCCCTTTCACTGTGCGTTTCTCATTCGTGTGGTTATCTTGTTATGGGTACAGGATGTATGATGTATTTGTAACATTTATAACAAAGAGTATTGACAAAAGCAACATAACTATGTGCTACTGATAGGATAACGAATAAATACATACATTAACTATCATATGTTGCTGTATGTGTACAACTATTTAATTGAATTTATGAGAGTAAAACAAAAACAATTCATTCATTTTGTATTGGTTGTTTGAATCATCCCATTGATGTTTAGGACTGCAATTGATCAGTCTCTTATCGGCATATATTCATACTGTGCATATTGCCTTAATTCATAAGCTTTATAAGCAAAGATGGATAAAGTCTAGTACTGGAATCTAGGACAAAGAGTATTTCGTTCTATTTGGGACTCGTCAGCTGGATATACCTGCATCTCAGAGTTGATGTTCACTCCGCGATTCGGACTCAGTACTGGTCGTTTTAAACGCCATCATGTTATCCACTTACCTACTAAGTCCTCATAACAAATTAATAGAACAAAACGCACGTCCTGGTTTCTACTGCTATCCACTATTCATCTTTGCTTATAAAAACAATTCATATTATTAGATAAAGAACATATTAATGGATTAAACTACTAAAAAAAAAACAGAAAATGAAGATACGTTTAAACAGTAATGGAAAAGACATTCTTATCTACTGAAATGTAGATCGGTAAACCCACACCTTAATGATAAAAAGGTATTTAACTTAAACAGTGTAACGTCTTTACTTTATACACCATTTTATTAGTGAATCATGAGCTATATTGGTTACATTAGGAAATCATTTTACTAGTCAAATAATTAAGATAAATTATAAAAACCCCCCCTCATAAGCATTAAACATTATACTACTTATATCTAAAGTAATAATGAACACAGTTACTAAGTTATACCACCACCTAGAAAGTACAAGATAGGTAACTTAATGAGCCAGTATTGATTTTTTTATTTCAAAACCTTTGATGGACGATTGTTTATCAAGTCATCAATACAAAACGAACAATGTTAATTTTTCTGTATTTTGAAAATAAACAAAAAAATAACTATTCAAAAAGAAAAAAAAAAGAAAAGAAAAACTCACAAAGTATACGTTCCTCGAAAACACTGATTATAATCGTTATATCGAACTTTATATTCATTTATAATTGAGTTATTCATTGAGGATTGTGTGGATAATAAATCTGGACTATTTGATGCAATATAATATAATGTTGTATTAATATCTTTTGCATTTACAACTCCAGGAGCATATGAATGACTAATAGTTATCCCTGATGTCCATAACTGACAGAACAATAGAATGAAGTATACAGTTAAATCATATAATAGATAGATAGATAGATAGATAGATGAGAATGGCATTGTTTAACATCTTATAACTTAATCAATACAATTATACTTTCTCATTCAGAAAAACCTTTACAAAACTTTAACAACACTTGCACATTCAGATCAATGTTTATGTATAAAGTATTTTGTAACCATGTTGAAATAATTACAGTTTTCAAAAAAAAAAAAAAAAAACAGTAACCTATTACAATTTGATATTGAATTAATGGAAGGAATAAATTTGATGAAATTTCATTGAATATAAACAAATACGAACCTATCAGGTCCTGTTAAGTTCATACCATATTGATTAATAAATATTAGGGTGTTATCATATATTAATGGAAGATACAGTTGGCTAAAAATAAGTATTTTCGCTCCCCTCCAACCATTCATCAACTCAAATCGTCTGTAGACTAGTTATGAGTAGCTTAACGTTTACACTCGACCGTAGCTGCTGTCTTGACGTGGTGGTCGGGCTTGCTTATCGTGATGATCCAACCGAGCTATGTTTCTTTAGGTCCTACCATGCCAGGCAGGTCGATTGGAGAATGGCAAAACTAAAAGAAGCAACTCAAGATCTGAGGGCGAAGTCGTACTGCTAACTGTAGAGGGGTGTGACAGCAGTAAGGTGTTTCCTTCGAACAATCAGCATCTGTAGCGATGCTGCCTTCAAACAAGGAAGGAAGGGGTTAGAAAAGGTCGACCATAAAAATGTCACGTCTCCGCAGGTAAGGCCCTTTGAAGAACGGAGCTAACATGTTAAAAACTTTTTTCAAAAAGGCCGTGCGCGTCCGGCCTCAAGCAGTTGTCCCTTGGGCTCTGCGGTCACGTTCCCAGGTCGTTAAGACTAACACTAATCCGATTTCCGTTTCAGGTTCCTCAAGAAATATCCTTCCACGGTTTGGGCAGCCGGGAAGTGACATCAGCCCTCATACACGTAACAGCACACGAGACCAAGTTGGTCACGATCAAATCCTCCCTACAACTCCTTAATGTTTACAGATATTCAGTAGAATATATGTTAAAGTTATAGACTCCGAAAATCTACCTATTAATCTCTAAGAAATTTTGGGAGAACGAATACACAGAAGATGCCGTTTCCATTTTAACAAAGTTCAAGAATGTATTGTTGATATAGGCTTAATACAAAGAAAGAATTTTTGATGTCAGATATTCCGTTTATGTCATCTTATTAAATGGTAACGTATCAACCATTCTAATCAATCGATCAACTTACTCTTTATTTCCTTATTTATCATAGAAACCTTGTACTATTGAAGCTTAGAGTATGTCTACAGGACTATTAAGAGATTCTTCATGCGTTCGCCATCAGTGATAAGCCTTTGAAAATAATTAAGTTATTGTACATGTATGTTCCAAACGAGGTCGATCGGAAAATGATGTAATCTGAAACAACAGAAATCACTATGAGCCGCCCTTAACGCTATCGAATAGCACATGAGTATATATGGAAATTAGTCGTACGATTTTACATAGAAATGATCGACTGATGTGCTTATAAACCCTAATCGACTGATGTGTCTCGGAAATATGTTATTCACTTTAAATCATTTAACAGTTACAGACGGTCAGTGATAATACCCGGTCGTTCAAACCGAAGTGGGTCGAAAGGTTACGACTTAGGGCTTAGTAATTGAAATTTGAACGTCTTAACCAATTATTCATATTTCCATACTTGTCTAGTCACCTCAACTCCAACGGTGAATGTTGGATGACAGAGCGGAAAAAAGATAAGGATGGGGAAATCAAAACATGGAGTCAATCCACGTAATCCATGGCTTTAGACTTCCTAGATGAACCTCAAGTTATAATCACAATCTATGATTTGAAAATTTAACTGGGACGGCCAAAATGGATCGAAGAAACGCGGATGAATTTATTCTTCATGTTTGTGTAAATGCTACTATTCACTGTTTTTCATACAAATCTGAAATCTACCTCACCTATTTCACTTTTAAAGTAAGGTAACACTTTAAACCACGACAGACAATAAGAGTGATTTCAAAACATGACATCAGTACATGAAGCTGTTGACTGTTGAACTGAGCTGTGCACTTAGGTACAGACTACCTGGTTGCAGTTCACGCGATTATAATAACCAGTGGTTATTATTATTATTAGCTTCATTCAATATTATAATTTTGGTACAATATAGAATTCTCAGTACAAAGTATTTCAACAAGTTTCTGTTTCTTATTTCTTGGTCGATCTTGACGATAAATATTGAATGATCGCCAGGTAGAAGTTAGCAGTCCAGTCAATCGACATCTAAATAATGTACATTCTTTTCGATACATAGTCCCAGCAACCACAATATCTCTGATTGTGCTCTTTGGTAACATGTACACTTTTCATAAACCCATCTGAATAGGCTATGCAACTATTTGAAATCATGATTTTTTGAAACAAACGAAAGACAGATAACTTGTTGAAATATCTAGATGTTAGGAACAGTTAGCCCAGATGTTCAAGCAGGCCACCAAAGAGAGAGAGAGAGACTTTAAAAGCGATCGCTCGCAAAAAATGGAAAAAATCGAGTTGGGTTGATCGATTGGGTACCGAATCACAAAAAATAGGTAACCACTAAGTCATAACTTCTCATCTATAGGTTAACATGTATTCACTCTTTCGCTATTTTAATACTTTTTGTGAGGATGGTCAACGGGTGAACTCGAGGAAGCTGTAAGAAGCTCAGAAAGAGCCGAAGATATTCCATCCATCATCTTTTGGGAGAATATTCTAGAATCTGTACGTGTAGCTTCCCGATTAGACAATGCTATTAACCACCAGTGTGCAGATTGGATAGCTATAATGATGATTTCGTTTTTACTAAAGACTATAAATATCTGACATTTTGTACTATAATTTGACACTATCTGGAATAAAATTCCTTTCACTAGTCTTCTGGTTTCTCATTGCGACTTAGAAGGGTTCGAGCGTTCTAATGCTCAAGTTATACGCGGTATATCAAAAATATAAGTTCTCGATTTGACACTTTTTTAACTGGCTCCTTTTAGGGTATTATATTATCTTATTAATATTCAGTAACTAATAACATCATCAACCAAGCACATTTAACTCTTCATCATAATGTGTTGAAGTTCTAAGTATTTCCAAGAATCTGTAACATAATACTTACGCCTGTTACTCCCAATGGAGCATAGATCCTCCGCATTCCTTTCTAGTTCTACCCAATTTTTGTTCATTTTTCCCATGTCTGTCCCCATTTCTCGACGTAATGTGTTCTTTGGTCTTCCTCGTTTCCTTTGGTGTTGAGGATTCCAAGTAAGGGCTTGTATTGCGACACCGTTGGGTGCTTTCCTCAATGTTGTCCTATCAACTTCCAGCGTTTCTTCCTCTACTGGGATCTGGTTTGTTCTCTCTCACAGTAGATTGTTGCTGATAGTGTATGGCTAACGGATCTAAAGCCTTTGCGTAGACAGCTATTAATAAACACTTGTATGTTCTGGATGATGGCTTTCGTAGTTCTTCCAGTTTCCACCCCATACAGTAAAACTGTCATGATATTTGTTTTGAAAATTCTGCCTCTGGTGTTGGTTGACAGACAGTTGTTTTGAGTTGAGATGTTCTTCAGTTGTAGATATGCTGTTCTTGCTTCGCCGATCTGCGAATTCTTATCTATATCAGAGCCACCGTGTTAATCAATGATGCTGCCCAGATATGTAAAGGTTTTTACATCTTCCAAATCTTCTACGTCAAGTGCGATTCGATAGGTGCATGATGTGTTGTATCGGAGAATCTTGCTTTTCCCTTTGCATATGTAACTCGCTAAAAAAACGCTAACCAGAAAAATCTGTAACATATAATCTGCTTATAATTGTAATTGTGTTATCTAGATGTTCTTAACATTCATCCTTATCTATTGTGCACTCATTAAACACTTGTTTATTGGTAACAAATTTCATACTTTATGTCTATAGTTCTCGTTTTGATTTATCGGATGTCATTACTGGATTAAAGAACTACCGTCTGTTACGTATGTCTTGATCAATAATAAGTATTGTGACAGGCTCATCTGCTTTGATCTTATCTTGAATAAAGTAAACTTTTTAGATAATTCACTCATTAGATTTGTAAGGTATGTTGCTTATGATGTCATGAATAACAGAAGCGTACCACGAAAAAAATCTATTGATTCAATTTGAGATTTTATGAGTGCTTCAGTTGTTCGATCTGAGTCTTTTGACAGAAATATATCCCCTTTTTTATGGTTTTTAAAAACAACTAGTGATTTTATGAGTTAGCGTTAAATACTAGTCGAAAAGTCGTTAGGAATTACTCCCCACACTAATACTATTTGTTGAGAAGATTCAGAAATCTCCTCGTAAAAAGCCAACAAAGGCTTTGAAAACACTGAGAAGCATCTTATCCAATCAACAATCACTAGAAGTTTTTTGCCAGAAACATTTGGAAAGTAAAAAATCACGTGTCCAGTCGCTGATTGAATGACTACCTATACTGCTATTTTGTTTAGTAGCGCCTTTGAAATTTCCAGAAACCCACGGTCATCTAAAATAGCATAAAACCCCAGATTTTCTGTAGATAAACAAACTTTTGGAGTAAAGCGTTTCTTCCATATTTCACGCCTTTCCTCTCGTGTTCAAGTAGCTGTGTAGATTTAGACTGGGGTTACCAGAAGAGCTTAGGAACCGAATCTAGCGTTCGATTAGAAGATTTATCATTATTCTAATCAGCTAGCTGATCAGAAATAAGTAACACATAAGAAAACTAATTTAGAAGATACAGCTTAGCAATTGCAATGGATCGTTTACTTTCCTGCCTAAATCTCTGAATCTAAGCTTCAGACGGACCATTCAGCTATTCACATGAATAAATTAGTACATTCAATTTAAACATATCCTCACATTTCCACCGCAATATCTCATTATATCAAGGTTGAGAAAACTGATGACTAGATGAAATATCTTCATTTCGATACAAAGTTGACAACGGCTGGTGGTATATATGTCGAACGAGCCATTCACATTCTTCAAGTAAACTAGTCAATATGTTAAGCCATAATAGCAGTTATCATTAGTTTGGCAATTTTCATACACTCAGTTAAAAGAGCACAATATTAAGCACTGTTATATGCTCTTTTTCCTAATAACTCTGCTTTCAACCTACGTTTCTAAGACTGATTTTCTTACTATACAAGCCCTAGTCATTTGATTTGTGTGTGGGTTGTGGTACTGCCCGGGTACCTAGATCGAAGCAGTTAGTTTTCTTAGGGAAGCTAAACCCGTAGACTTCAACCTAAAGGTCTGATCCGCAAGGTAGTGGAACGTCAGGAGATGCATTCCCATGGTAACCGGTCACAAACGATTGATTCGTACGGCGTTTTTCACTCGGAATCATGGAGCTCATATGCATCACTGATTTAGAATCAGGGTTTTCCAACTCCCCTAGGTGGATACTCTGTGTCCACTAACCTGGTTCAAGCGCTGGCCATTCGCTTTTCGTCGTCTCAATTCCGTAAACAACAGTAATGCCGCGAGAAGGCAGTGAGTAGGACTTCCCTAATAATGGCTGTATAGGCATGGTCAAGTGAAAGCATTTCGAGAGAGAGAGCTGACTTTCTTCACCCTCGGCCGTACCAGGGTATCTGATCTCTAACCAATGATTAACATTTTCATGTTCAACTAAAATCAAAGATAATAAGCTATTATAGTAGACAGAATGTTCTATTATTCTTGCCTTCATTTTTATACAGACTTTAAATGAAAGTGTGAGAATAAGGTTATTATTGAAAGAAATTCAATTCATGCATTGTAAGACTATAACCACTAAAGGATATTACAATAACTACTCATTATTAAACGAAATCTAATTTGCTAAAATAATAATACCTAGTTTTGCTCATGACAGTGTATTAACGTGTTAATTCATGTTTTTTGTGGTTAAGACATTCATTTCGCAATTTACTTACCTATTTATTTGAACACATAAATATTAGTACAAAGAGGTACCAAATACATGTACGCTACACAAGTCACTTGATTTGGGTGTGACCATAATACTGCCTGGGTGCCCAAAATCGATGCAGGTGGTTTTCTTAGGAGTGCTACATCCTGAACCTTCGACCTAAAGGTCTAATCCACAAGGCAGTGGAATAACGTCAGGAGATGCAGTCTCATGGTAGCCGGTCACAAACAATAGGCTCATACGCCATTGGATCACTCAAGATCCTGGAGGATATGTGCATCACTGGTTTGGAATCAGGGTTTTCCAACTCCTCTAGGTGGATCCTACGTGTCGACCAACATGATTAAAGCGATGGACATTCGCTTCTCGTTTTCTCAATTTCGTAAAAAGCAGTAATGCTGTGAGAAAGCAGTGAGGATTTCGCTGGAAGTGGTTGTATGCACTTGGCCATGTGACAGCATTGGCAGAGGGAGAGCTGACTCTGGGCTGTACCAGGGCATTTCACAATGATAAACAAGAAAACATAAATAAAGTCACAGAATAATTTGCCAATGGATTGACACAACAGGAAACACTAGTAAACTTTCATAGAGAGCAAACGATTTAGATTTAAAGGTTAGCAAATTAAATGAACAGTACATATCACTACATATAATAATCATTTTCATCATTGATATTGAAAAATGGTTTAAATTTTTATAAAATTATAATTGTTATCTGAATAAACTTACGAAATTCCAAGCATCAGTATGCTCTTTACGTAATTCTTTTTCTGGATAACTCAAGGCAAACATTAATTCAGATGAAATTAACGATTCCAATCGTGTTCGTTCTTTGGCCAAATGGCCAAGATCTGATTTTAATTGAATTAAATCATGCTCTGTAATCAATATTGGTTGATCTGATATGCGGATACCAGTAATAAAAGTATACGATTGTGCTCTGTGTAAAGAAATGGATTGAAATAATGATAATAATCAGTGATAAACCAATAAGGAAATTTTGAAAATATAAAAATCAAATGGATTGTTTCAGATGGAGCATTCATATGACTGATCTATCAGTTCACAATGATCAAAGAACTTTAAAAGCTAGATACTTAGATCAATCAGCAATCGATGTACGCATAGAAATCGACTTAATTTACCAACCAGTCATAAAATTCATGAACGAATATAGAATCAAAAATTAGGTAAACGTGGGAGACAAAACATGTATCCTAAATGCCACTGCTGGCCACTATCCATCTTTGCTTGTAATGTTTGTGACTTAAAGCAATATCAAAACAATACGCAATACAGGATGTGCATATATATACTGATCAATTGCAGTTCTAAACATCAATGAGAAGATTACAGTAAACATTACAAAACGAATTTAAAATTTCAAACTGTGGAATGCTTCAGAAAGTGATTTTTGATACATTATACTACTTTAATTGATTTCAGTAGGCTAATAAGAAAATAATAAAACAAAAAAGGGTAAATCTATATTGCAGCGAAAAATGATGAAGATGGGAATAAATAAATAATCAAAATACTGCTATTTCTTTGGAAAATGCTACTTTCAAGTAGAGTATAGAAGGCATTTCCAAGAAGGCGATCTGCTTGAATAACTGTGTTACTTGATCCTACCATTTAAATTTTCCAACAAGTTATCATTTGTATTATGTCTCTTAATCGCATAAACTACTCAGGTACATTTATGAAAGTTTTAAGACCCATCACTCCACAAGGTACAAAGAAATACAACTGAATATTATCATGATGACTAATAATACGTATTGAAAGGAAAGAACATTAATCAGATACCGATTCCTGAACTGCTAAGTTTTAACTGTCAATCACTAATTGGCAAAATAGTCTGTTACCTATTCCTACTAGGTCTAAATACCTATATAAACCGTGGTGTAATCACACTTCAAGAAACCTTGTTAATTGATTTACAAGACGATCGATTAATATGACTATTATATTTCAATATTAATCATCAGTATTGATAAAATAATAGAAAAAAGGGTGTGAAGGCAGTGTAAATATGAACTGGTGTCGATGTGCTTTCCTATGTTTTAGGTTTTCAAATGAATTTATCGATTGTTCAACATTAAGATACCGTCTAAAACACTTGGATAAATACAACATTTACGTGACTCCGGGCTACATATCATCTGTTTTCGTTGACGAATTCACTTAATTTGCTGTTACTATCTTCAATAATTGACTTTCAATTGTATGTGGTGATTTTAATTCATATGACTTTAGCTTTCCTTTATCACTAGATCACCAAAATATAATAGACTTTCTCACTGGTTTGGATGCCTGTTTAGACTTCGTTTTTATTAATGATGTGAGAATGTGTGTGACTCGTAACTCGTGTCCTACTTAATATATATGGCAAGTTTGGAAAGGGTACACACTTATTTCAGACAAAGATAGTCAAACAAATACAACAATTACAGAGAAGAATACATCTAAAATCTGAAAAACATGTTTTGTACGACTAACTGGGGATTATTTACACATGACTCATTGGAAAATACCGTTGATGTTATCACTTGTTATCTTAAACTTTGTTTCGATATTTATTTTTTCCAGTGGAACCATTTTTGTAAGTTTTGATCGACTTACAACCCCCACAACTAAAATGATTATGGTTGGTTAAAAAAAGATTGTACAAGGAGAAAAATTCCATTTAAGTTCGAAAGCTAAATGGTTTAAAAAACCTAGAGATTAGATGTCTGAACTCAATGTTTACTCAGAAACTCTTCAAGTATGTGAAATTATTTAAAAATAGCTTACAAGTGAGAGACATATTAGAAACGAAAATCAACTAAAGGTTTATGACTTAAATAAGTCTTCTGTATGTCAGTCATCTGATGTCATAGTTCCTATATCCACAGAACTATAGAATATTTGTGTTCCAACTTTCATTGAAATCGATAATTCATCCTAATGTTTAGGATTTGGTGACATCCCAAACGTCTCGTTTGAGATGTGTGCTGACGTCCTATACCATCGATTCACGGGTACCTTTACCAAATCCTCTTTGACTCATTTAGTTCAGATGGAACATACGACCAACATATAGAAGTCTTTCACAATAATATATCGTGATAACAGAAGTCCACCTACTTCCGTCAGACAGCTGAAGCAATTGCTATTCGGATCAAAAAGCCAGAGCTTTACATCCAAAAGAAATACATTCAGTCGTTCCTTTTACCCTGGCCAACTTTGGGCCCAACTAGTTCATAATCAATTTTATAATATGGTGATGTAATTTGATTAATGTTCATTTTTATATCCTAATCTTATCCACACATCCTACCATTGTCATTATTATTACACTTTCTAACCATTTTGATAAATTTATTCAGCATCCACCCCTATCTGCTAATTCCTGTCTAATTCACATTATTCTACATATTACGTAATTTTCGGTTTGTAATTACATTATTCTCTCTCACCCCATATTGTGTTTTAAGTGAATGAGTTCTTGTCTCATTGAATGATAGTCTGCTGTTAATGATCTTACACTTAAGCCGTCTAAATGTCAAACTGTTGACTTTAGCCTTAGACATGAACATGACTTAAACACCCTGTTGATATCTCAGAGTTTGTATCATTGGAGATCCCTTAATTAACACAGTGTCAAAGGTCATTTATCTCGGTGTAAGTTTTTCCTCTGATCCCTCTTGGTTTTCTCATGTTTTATTGTTACCAAAGAAAGTTTTCAGCTTGGCTTACAACATAAAGAGGTCACATGCTTTTAGCCCTAATTGACATTTACTCATATTAATTCTTATTCTTTACTCTTCTCCATTATTATTTCCCAGGTTATTGAGAAGGGATTTTACTGTACTATGAAGAGTGATGAAGACAGTTAGAAAGGTGCGTGATGGATCTTTTGCGGTCATTGTTGATATGGTTGTAAGAAGAAATTCAAAACCTTTCAGACTCCTGACAGGTGTTACCTTATCAAATACTAGCCATCCACTTCATTCACATAGTCTAGCAGAACGGGACGCTAAAACATTAGTATCCATACACACAAGCAAACCTCTAGAATACCTTATCTAACAAATATATACAATACGACGAACAAGTGGTTAGAACTGACCTAGTCAATAACTTGGATTATTAAACGTGTTTTTAATTCAACATTGTACATATTCTAATCTTCTTAAAAAACACTTCATCTAATTTAAGGTGGTTTATTAACTTAGTTTAGGTATGTATCTATGTATGTACGTATGTAGTTATCAGTTTACTACCTTTCGTAAACGAAACTTGCTGAAACATATTGTGCTGAAAATTTTACAATGTACCACAAATATAGTATTGAATAGTGCCATTAATAATAATAATAAAAGTTAACCAGAAGAGTGCTTACAAAAGTTTATCAAAACATGAACATGTTCAAATCCAGTAAAAACTCAAATAACCCACCGTTTAGTAACCATAGTCTGTAAGAATCGCTCCCACAAGCTTACTCGAACATATAATGATCATAAATCTAGTCAAATAGGGATGTCAATTGGCCAAAAGAATATGATCGTATATGTTAATTGAAATAATCATGTCAATAAAGAAACTATTTACTACCTCCTCACAAAATTCAGTAAATAATCATTGTGAAATAGTAAGGTTAGAGATAATACGAAGAGATAGTCTAATGAATCAGTTAATTGAGTTAATAGTTGAGTCATAGAAATAACACAAAACAACTAATAAGATTTCATATAGTTGAGAACCCTTTTTAATTACTTTTATATGACAAATGTAGTTTGAAGTCCAGTATATAGAACTGTATAATGTTATACAGCTGGAAAGGATAAGAGAAGGGAGAGGAGAATAATAAATGATTGGAGAAAATAGTTGCTCCCAAATGCCATGGTATGATCGACGGTGGGAATCAATCCTCCCTCTCGAAATGCTCTCACATGGCCACGAGTATATAGCCTCTGCCAGGAAGTCCGACTCATTGACTTCTCGAGGCTGGGGTGTTGTTTACGAAATTTAGACGACGAAAAGCGAATGTGCAGCCCTTTACCCGGGTTGGTGAATATGTAAGATTCACCTAGGGGAGTGGGAAAACCCTTAATCTAAACAAATGGTGAACATAGCCTCCGGGATCGAGAGCGAACAAACGGCGTATGAACCAATTACTGGTGACCGGCTATCATGGGACTGAATCTCCTTACGTTGCTTTACTGCCTTGTGGACCTGACCTTTAGGTCGAAGGCTCAGGGTGTGGCCCTCTAAGAAAACTATCAATTTCAGTTTGGGCACTCGTGCAGTATTAAATAAATAAATAAAATAAGAGAAAATAGTACAAATGTAAGCAGAATAATTTTGCATAGAAAGGTAAAGAAATAAACGAATTCATCTTGGATTACACTACGATTAATGGTATGAGATTTGTAAAACTTGAATTGATCTAACTGATAAGTATCAGTCTTATAAATGAACACATTAATCATTATGATTAAAGTAGTGTCAAACAAACACATTTTCAATTAACGGTTTAAGCTTAATATGAGATTATATATCAGTTTATAACGGTTAAATAGATGATGAGGTCACTGTAGATCTATATAACAATAAAGTTCCTCAGTGAAATCTTTAATTCTATTTGGTTATAATAATAACTAATGTCTTTAAAAATTTTCAGAGTATGGGCGCATATGATTATTAGTGCTTAGTGCTTTTTCTGCGTCATCTAATATACAAATAACATTTTTGATTGAGATCATGAACTGATTGATGTTAGACCACCATTGAAAACCTGAAAGCACTGGACGGCCGTTTCGTCTTATTTTGGGACTCTTCAACAGTGCGCATCCACGAACCCGCTCGCGGGATTTCAACCCAGGTCTTCAGTCTCGCGCGCCGTCCAGTGCTTTCAGGTTTTCAGTGGTGGTCTTACATCAATCAGTTCATGAT